TTTATCGGTTGATAGTTTGATACATTATCGGTTGATAGTTTGATACATTATCGGTTGATACATTATCTGTTCTGTGGTGGTACATTATTGGTTAAAGTATTTTTGCTACTACATTATCCGTCGACACGTGATACATTATCGGTTAGAAATTTGATTACACTATCGGTCAATTCGTGATACTTTTTCGGTTGGTTACTACTTTATCAGTTGTGACATCCCACCGTCTGCTGGTCTCTCCTGGAGTATTTTTTCTCGTACCCTGCTGGCAATGAGAACTGGGACATCCCATCAGCCGGCGGAATCCCCTTGCAACAAAGGAAAGTGTGCTCCTTTTCGTCAGGAAAGAGACGCCCTTTTTGACGAAGAGTATATAAGATTGACATTAATAAGCGCTCCCACAAATTGTTCCCCTATGCATGTAGATTACAGCATACACAAACGTACTTACCCGCAGGCAGTTATGTGGTACTGGAATATGGGGTACTCCTGCATGTATAGAATGTCCTTGTGGGCCGAGGAATATGGGGTACTTTGTTATACCCCACAGGATTTGATTTTTCTCCCATAAAATACCCCAGAAAACTACTTTATATGCACATTAACAATTCCCCACAGGGTTAAATCACAAAATGCCCCAGAAGGCATCTGATACATTTCTTACACTCATGAAATTATGGTCAAGATGTAATAAGAGAAATGTTTATAAAGGGGAATCATTTTTATTGTTCCATATTGCCCTGACATATAAAGTTCAAGTTTTGGACTGGTTACAAGGTTGGTATATTTTTTTGCATCAAAACCAAAAATTCACAGAACCGATTTAACTGTACAGTCAAGGGTGAAAGTCAGTTGCTGATTATCACTGAAATATGGAGCCCATCCAAAACTTACAGTGTATTCTGTCAACTTACATATAACAATGATACTGCATGTCAACGTGCATTCCTAGAAATTATACTTCCTATCTCATGTCACTGCACATTGCATACTGCATGATACTGAACATCCAAGGGAAATGCAATTTCAAGCTGCTCATCACTCTCAACCCTCACCGGTACTCGTTTTTTGTTTGCATTTGCACTGTGTAAGAAGTAGACAGAGAAGATGCACACACATTTATATGCTGCTTCAAGAAACTCTTTTAATACAGAAATCAGAATGGAAATGGAATTAAACAGATTCCTAATCAATAGGCAAGACTGTAAGAATGAAAAGTACCCTGTTTGAAAAAGGTACACCATTTAGAAAAAAACAAAAATGAGGTACCACAAATGTTTTGTGGAAGCACTCACGACACATGAAATTGAGGTTTCACCTTAGGAGCTGGCAGTGTTTGCATTTTTAATGGTCACTGTTATAAATCTGAAAGAGCACATATTTTGAAAATAGTGAATTTCGTATTTTGCATTGCTACCAGCAGCTTAAGGTATAAAGGCCTACAAAGGGGAGTTTTTTCAATGGGATCGAAACCTATTGCTTTTCTTTGGTAAATGAGATTTGCCATTTTACAATATTAACACCAGTAAGGCTGAATCCTCTGGTTGCAATATTATTTCACACTCAACCTCAGAACTACAGTTAGTATTAATTATGCAATCATGTTTTGTAGGATTTTAAGTTCAATCACTTTGAATATCTTACATGTACATGTATCAGTAGGTAGACAGCATTTATGTTTTATTATGAATTAAAAAAGATTCTGCAGTCTAAGTTTTTGTCTATAAATTAAGCGAACAAGTAAAGTAAAACCCCCCAGATTTTTCAGGATATTATCTTGAGTGTTTATAACCTACAATGCTGGATGAGGTTGGAATGAAAGTCTACATGGATGATGTACTGATCAAATGAACTCAATAATTAAAGAAAATACATTTTTGGAGGAATCTGTTAATCTTCAGTTGTTTAATGAAGTTATTTATGCTAATTCACCTTGTCATATGTTTTCAATTTGCTTTTTATGATTAACTAATATTATGGATATATTGTCTCTTCCAAAAGCAGGTCAATTTTTTGTTTACATGAGTATTTTCTTTTTGAAGATTCAAATCCAGCATTCCGACCTGGCTTCCATAGCAATAGGTGCATGTTCACAAAGTCTGACATCATAAATTTATTGGCTAACTACAGCCCTGATGTCACACCTCTAGAGGACAAAGCATTACACTTGGTCAAAATCACATTTCAACTGGCTGCTGCTTTGTTAATTGTGATTGGGATAATAATTAAAAAAAAAACTGACTTGGTAATTAATGTTGAGATCGTTCTACTGTCAATCTCATCCCACTGAATTAAATTCATTCTAGGAACTGGTGGCAGGTTGACAATCACTGTTTGATAGAGCTTTGTACTGCATTGCGTATGATAGACACACCAACAAAAGGGCAGGTATGATATGGAAAAATCCAAATCCCTGTTCTGTTTTCTGACAGATGAAGTAATTTTGCAACAAATAAGTTTTAATGATATATGCTTATAAATAAAACACGTCAACTAACAAAAGCCACTTGGAAGACCCTTCATTATTTGCCTGAAACTTATACTTTGCCTTGTACAAATTGGTTGTGGAATAATAACAGCCACAAGTGATTGTGAAACTGCCAAATTGCTAAGGGAGATTGACTTCAACTGCCACAGATTCACTTGTTCCTCATTTTAACAGACACACAATTACCTTTGTGAGGTCAGCTATATTTTGGGGGGAGGGGTTGGTTTGATGTGTTTCATTCCACCTGCCACTCCTTGAAGAAATCATTACCCTTGTCATCTACCACAATGAATGCTGGGAAGCCCTCTACCTCCACACGCCAAATGGCCTCCATGCCGAGCTCTGGGTATTCTAACACCTCCACCTTCTTGATGCAGTTCTGGGCAAGGATAGCTGCTGGACCACCAATGGAGCCCAGGTAGAAGCCACCATGTTTCTTGCATGCCTTGGTTACCTGAAAAAGGTGAAAGTTAAGCTTCAAAATCTCTATAAAACAGGACAGATCCCAAATATGCAAGAATACGGGGGAGCAAAAGATATACATGTACTAGAAGATGAGTCATTCAGAATCTGATCACATTGGGAATCCAGGCCTTGAAAAGCCCATGTTCTTTCAAAATATAAATTGTAAGAAACTGTATAATTTTTTTCGGGGGGAGGGGGGTTCTTTTGTAAAATTTGCTAGAAAGTAAAAAAAATGCAGTAAGCAGTGTGCTGATTTTTGTAGCTGGTAATTTCCAGTGATATTGTAACTTTGAAGACAGTCACCACTTCAGTGATGGCTTGCTGCAACCAATCCTCAAACATGTCCACACGTCTCAGTGGTACCATGACACTGGTTCTGTCACAAACGGTTTCAATGCAATGTTTTTTACCCAGGTCCATGCACTGTATGTTCAAGTACAATTCACCATATTCTGTGCATGCAACAACAGCTCAGCTAAAGGTCTTGGTTTATACTAGTTGGCAAGAGTACATGTACATTACCTCTGAGTTTGCCATGCAAGTCTATTGACATAAACTGTACCTGCTGACTCCTGTTGCCCTTAGCTAGCATGACCAGGGAACCACCAGCAGCCTGGAAGGACTCTATGTAAGAGTCCATCCTACCTGCTGTAGTTGGGCCAAAGGATCCCGAAGCATATCCCTGAAATAAACAAAAACACAACAATTCACAAACATCACAATACACTGTATTCATGTGTTGGCCATCCTGAATTGAAAATGAGATAAAACTTTTCATTTCGGGAACATAAAGGTTAAAATAATTGTTGAATGAAAGTTTAAAACAAATTCATACTACTTTTTGTTTAGACTAAATAAATATTTGTGACCAATTATATATAGTGGAACGTCACTATACCGAACACCACTATACTGAACATTCGGCTGTAGCGAAAGTTGTCCTTGGCTCCCAATATTTTGTGCACAAAACCTACCAAACATTATGCAGGTGCAAATCAACCGAGCTTCGCCACAGCATGCATTAGAGCTTTTAGGATATACTAAATATCAATTTTGTAACTCAAGATTTAATAAAAAACAAAAATATTAACAGATGCATGTACATTTCTAGAAACCTCGACCATGAATGCAACAGCAAAACATAACGAAAACAGCGAATCACAATATCACAAGAATATCTTCAATTAGACAAAAGAGGGTGCTATTTAACATGGCAACGAAATGTTTGGCAGTTAATTTGGCTATACCGAACAACCGTTGTTCCGAACATTTAGCGTGGACCCCGTCGTGTTTGTGATAGCGGCATTCCACTGTATATGTTTTAAGCCACATAAAAAAATTAAAGGGAGGTTTGGAACCCCAAACTGGTATAATTAAACCAGAATACACTGAATGTGATACATGTAGATTCAGAGAACAACATAAAAATGGTTTCCCAGTAAATGACGTCTATTCCTAAACATCCACAGACTTTGAGACAGGAACAAAATTTTACTACCTCCCATCCCTTTCTCAGTGCACTAATACAGTTCAAGTGCACATGACGCGTCAACTCCAATTATTCTTTTTGATTGTTGGTATATTGCACGGTTAAAAACATCACTTAGTTTCATTAGACATGTTCGTTAAAAACTTTTAAATACGCAATAAAATTGTTAATTGTACAAGATTAGCTAGAGGCTTGTTGTTAAAGCAGGTTTTCAGGGCTTGTACAACTTTCTACTTTTGAGGATCACTGCCTTTGTGCCCCCAAACCAAAATAACAACAAGCTGTAGAGAAATAATGATAATGATGACGATGATGATAATGATCTTGATTATCAGAAAAAATTACCTCAGGTGTCTTAGCAGGTCCTGCATAGTACAGCGGGTGATCCTTGATGTACTGTGGTAAACCTTCCCCATTGTCCAACCGTTCCTGGAGCTTGGCATGAGCAATGTCTCGAGCTACGACCAATGTCCCAGACAGGCTAAGACGGGTCCTGATTGGGTAGGCTGTAAGAGTCTGTAGGATGTGACTCATAGGCTGGTTCAGATCAACCTGGTCATGCAAACAAGCATGTCATTTTGAACAGCCAGAGAACAGATCAATTTTTGATATCTTTATGTCACTGCTCTTTCTCACACCCATTCCTATTGGTCGAGAGCCACAATTTTGAAAAGATTATAAAAGTAACAACTGGTTTCAAACACTATACAATGCATACAGAAACTCACAAGACTAGAAAAAATGTTTCAATTACAAATTTCAATGTTTCAGTGTTTCCATGTGAAAATGGAGCGTTATATCGGTAAGAGTGTTAAATCAGGGAGCGCCATAACAGGAATCTACTGTATGCCCCTATTCTATGATAATGCCCCGGCAGCTTTTTTATTAAGAACATCCGACGTTAACTGGTTAATTTTGAAGTTATTGCCAAATTATTAAAGTCAGTGACAGGTTTTAGGCTTACAACTTCCAACATAGTACAATTAATATTCGCAATCGCACCGTGATATTGTGGAAAAGCATGCGGAGTGCGATCGGATTGTTAGGTCCACTCCCATATATGTTTCATGGTCATCATGGGACAAGTCTCGGATCTTCACCGTTTCATGCATACTTTTCAAGGTTGATCTTATAAAAAAGACTGAGTTGCCTGCCTTTTTGCCAAAGTAAAATACTTTTGAATAGCCAATGTAAGTTTGCAACGTACACTAGTCAATGATTACAGTGGAACTACACAAGGGTGAGTGCCCAGAAGACAGCAACCAGGGTGGTGGTACTATAGCTAAATATTGAAAACAGTCACAGGTCTACAGATTTATCATCGTAAACCATCAAGATAGACTGAATAGTTTGTCGCTAAAACCTGTTTGTCACCTGTCTTTCTGTGTGCAGGCGGTTCGTATTCATGAGTTGTCCCCACGGCTCATGTTTATTCACAGCTCCCTTTGTCTGGATGACAATTACTGTGATTAGTCCAGCCCCGGTTCAGCTCATTAAACTCTGCCATGCTTGAGTGGGCGCTCCCATGCAGGACGTGTGTTCTCGCCCTCCTTGACAACGCCCGACCGATCGAGAAGAAAAACGCAAGTCAATTTTGCGTTCCCGTCTTAATCAACCCGATTCTTTGGCATTCAGTGAAGCTCATGCAAAGCTTTTTTTTTTTATTTGATATAATTTACTTGCACTTGCAGAAGTTCGTCTTATGCCGTAAAGTTGTCTTTTACTTAGATTTGATATTTAGTTTGGTTTTGTTGTCTTTTGCTGATTATTCGTTTACTTTTGCTTAGTTCCATGTTTAGTTTCGTTTAATTTGGGGACAACCAAATGCTGCATTGTGTTTAACGTGCTTTGTGTATGGATGCTTAAGCTGATTTGATTTTGCCAATTATGCAAGACCAATGGATTTAATTTGATTACTTTGTAAATACTTGTAAATGTTTAATTTCATTTCTTTAATAAATTTATATTTGCATTTTTTAGTTCAAAGAGGTTCTTCCCTGCTTGCTTTATTAAGGTCAAGACAGAACTAATTTGGATATTTTGGGTATTTCTGGGGAATTACTTGACACCTGCAACACAAGTGGTTCCAATGTGATGACTTGAAGCAAGGTCTTGCCGTGAATTTTTCATTTTTAAACGATTTGACAGTGTGTTTTGATCGGTGTCACAAAAACTTAGAGATAACTGGATGTAGTGTTGTGGACAGTTACAGAGGTATTTTTCACATAAAAGCTTTTTTTTTGGCAAGAAATAGTCGGCCTATGAGATAAACAATCTTTCTTCTTAACCGACTTCGAGTAAAACCTATCAAGATTTTATTGTATGTTCCCAACTGGATAACTTTTGCTGCCAACTGGAAAAAAGGGCAAGATATGATGCATGGCCTGCAAAGGACAATCATCCAGCCCACAATAATTATTAAATTAAAGGACTTAAAATTCACTTTTTATGGTTACACTCGTCTGCATTTCTCTTACTTTCATGAAGACTGCATGTGAAGTGGAACCATTGACGTACTGTACATGGTGCATTGGCACTTCAGCATGCAGCATGATCACCTTCATGGGTGGACCTTCAGTGCTGCTGTGCGGCTTATATGCCGGTGTGGCTTATACACTGACTTTAAATCTTAATTTGTTGATATTAGCGTGCTGCTGCTTATACACTAGGCAGCTTATATTCACAAAATTATGGTATTTCTTTCATTTTGGGTAATCATCCTTACTCACTGTAGCCAGGCTGAAGTATAACTAAAGACTGATTTATATGGAGGGAGGAAACCAAAGAATTCCTTCCCCACATTAAGTGTGGGTTGGGTCAACTAGAGAATACCTACCCAAACAGTCACTACATATGCAAATTTCCCATGCGCGTATTATTCAAATGCTGAAAAGATTTCATCACTAGTGGTGCACCCTGACCTCCAAGAATGAAGCTCGGCCTCGCCGCCATGATCATCCTTCTTTTTGAAAGCAACTCAAAAAGGTTGGAGCCAGAGTGCGGAGAACGGGCAAGAGAGGACTGTTTGGGTAGGTATTCTCTAGTAGACCTGACCTACATTCAATGTGGGGAAGGAGTCTACAGCACTCTACCTACCCAAACAGTCACTACATATGGAGAGTAGCACCGGTCTAGGTGAGGGGTTGGCGACGACACATCTAATGCCGCAAATACACTTTTACATATGAAGTAATATATCTATTATAAATATATCTAGAGGAATGTATAAATTTAAGAAATGATAAAGGAACTTCCTAATGACTTGTCCATCCTTCAGAGGTCCCTTTGACCTCTGCACTGCGGACAGTAGGATGGTCCTACCATGTGCAATGTCACTCTGCAGAACATCCCTCAAGTTGCAGGAGGTAGAAGGAGACTTCCAACATGAAGTTTTGCAGATGTTTGCAATGGAAACATCTCGAGAGTATTACACCACGGTCGTCGGCTTGTAACTAGGGATTGGACAAACAGGCGGTGACTTCGGTCAAACCGCGGTTCAACCTTTCTGCAAAGCCGCCTAAGACAAAGATGCAGATCCTGCTCTTACATCATGAACCCTGATCCATCATGCGTTTGCCATCAACAGTGATGTTGTATATGGACAGCCAGCGATGAGAGGCATACTCTTAAGGCATGGTGCATTTTACACTATCATGCATAGTTCTCCCAGATGCTTCCTCAGGTCAGCTGAATACTGCAGATCATTGCGGATGTCACGGAAGACATGTTCCACTTCACTGTTGAAGTGAGAACAGAATTTTTTTGCAGCATTGTGAGTGTGGTGACATGAATCACCATCCACATCAAGCAGATGCGGGGCCTTCCCTCTAAGTTGAACCTCTACACCAGTCTTGCTGCCCCTCATCACCGCACATGAATCCATCAAAACAGAAATCAGATTCTTCCATGGAATCCTTTTTTTGTGAACAGATCATCAATTGCATGACAGATGGTCTCACTGTTGACCTTTACAAGAGAAACAGATGCGAGATGCTTCACAACAGTTTCTTACTGTGATGGAGAGTAGTAGCTCACAAGGATATTCAGAACATGATGAAAGGTTTTGCTGGTCACTTCATCAATGTTCAAAGAAAAGTAAGCCGACTGGAGATCCAAAATGATTTCTTCTTCCATAGTTTTGGCAACTCCATATTCCATCTGATATGCAGCGGTGGTTCTGCTCACCTTCAGATTATCTAGTGCTTTCTTGTCTCAGTTTACTTCTTTTGCAAAGTGGCAACGGTTGGGGGCAATTGCGAAGGGTAGGTTGTTTTCTGCCATAAATGCAACAATGGAGCAGATGTGGCTGCAACCCGATCAGTCAGCAGTGTGTAAGGTTGTGGCATCTTCTTAACAGATACTGAGGTCGCAGAAACATTCTTGAAAAAGGGATGTAGGCCACACAGAGTTCTTGATGAGGCACTATCTGCTTCTGCAAAGATGCATGAAAAAACCAAAAAGGGTTGTATGAATATAAAAGTGATAGGTGTTACATGTTTCATAAACAAAACTGGATGGCAGGCCTAGACTTTATAAGATTATGAACAAACCATGAACGTACTTGTACATCAGTATTGCAAACCTGCAAAATCATGATAATAGCCTGCATAGTTATGATAGCACAGCACGTAAAACATTAACAAATAATTTGTAATTAAAATATGTATTCACCAATGCTAAACTCAGCAATCACGATTTTGACTTAAAAAATCAATCTAAAAAATTAGGCCTGCAACAAGTTTTAATCAATTTGTATTTTTAATTAAAAAAAATCCATAGGCCTAGGCCTATCTTACCTTGGAGGCGGTAGTTTGTTTTTCGTAGCTTTATCAGTTCGCGATGTTTTGATACTTTGCAGTGATCGGTCAGCGTTACGAGTCCACGTCTGCTGTAATTCATTTCCTTTTTGCATACCAAGCAATATGCCATGCCTCGCCGATCCAGTTTTCAGACACCTTCAGCTAGAGGAACAAAATCAACTGCTTTTTCCAACCAGTCCCACTTCCAAGCATTTTTTATGCCTTTATCTATGGTTTTGATATCCTGTCCATCACGTTCAGTGATAACCTTCCTTTTGGAAGTCATTTTGAGTTTTGACGCGTGGGTGATCGACGATCACGATGCACGTTGACAACAGCGTTTTTTTCAACATTTGCAGCCCGCCATGGAAGCGGTATAGTATCCATTTAACGACGTATTCATTAAAAGTCAGGAAAAAAATGCGGCACCGGACTATTGGCTTGTCGTAGACAGAGGGCGCTTGTGCATACAGTGCTTAGTCTGTGTCCTGCACTTTTTAGTGCATTTACGCGTGCACAAAACAAGGGGATAGACAAGGCTTTTGTGCTCATTAATGTGTACCGAAAAATGGAACTCCGTGAGCGCTACACTGGCGCGGCCAGCGCCGCAGTGCGAACAGAAACAAGCCTGAAACACGGATATTATTTTTGTGCGGACGGATTTTTAAAAAATGCGGAAATCTGCAGATCAGTGGAAAAGTTGCATGCCTGGTAGATTGTTTTGAATTTTGGGGTATTTATTTAACAAATGATCTGAGTTGGAATACTAATGTTATGCGTCAAGAAAGTACAGAAATGGATCTTCTACCTCAGACGCCTGAAGAGTTTCCACTTATCCAGTGATCTGCTGGTCAAGTTCTATCGACCAGTGGTGGAAAGTGTGTTAACACAATCCATCATTGTGTGATATGGAAGTACCACCATGGCTGACCGGCAGGCACAGGAGGGAGTGGTTAAGTTAGCTGCACATATTATTGGTATAAATCTGGTAAGAAATGTACAGATCTAGAGTGGAGAATAGGACCAGCGGTATTATTAATGAGGAATTTCACTCAGCTAATGAGTTATTTGAGTTGTTTAGATCAGGGAAACGTTACAGAGTAATTAAGTGTAACAAAGAACGGTTCAGAAGAAGCTTTTACCCAACTGCAGTCAGGGGACTGAATCAAACCAAGTAATTTGTCACTTTGTGAGTTTTGAGTGTTATTAAAATTAATTCTTTCTATTGCTTAATTATTTTATTGTTATAAATATGTATTTCTTAACTTTTAGTACTTATTGTATTTTAATGCACAAGAACCAAAGCAATTTCTATTGTATACGTATGTATATAAATAGCAATAAAACAATCAAAAAAAAGAAAGGTGATCAAATCAACACAGAACCGTGTAGCGAAAACGGAAGCTCGAAAAATCGAAGATGCCTCGAAAGACACATCTGCTACATTACTGCACTGAGAAAAGGACGATCATGGCGGCAAGGCGGCGCTGCATTCTGGGAGGTCAGGGTACACCAAGGGTAATCACATCTTTTCAGCAAATGAATAATACGCGCATGGGAAATTTGCATATGTAGTGACTATTTGAGTAGGTGGAGCACCGTAGACCCAGGAAATACCCTTGTAGCACAGAGAAAACTCTACAAATGACTCTACTTGCACATTGCCTGAGCCTAGAATCACACTGGAGTCATGCTGATGTGAATTGAGCATTCTACGACTTTTATCACCTTGGTGTATTAGTCTGCTATGCAAATCAGCTAGTTAAAGAACCCTAGACAGAGTGTGTTTGGCTTATTGACAACCTAGCACACTCTAGTACCTTGACTACATCTCCTTCCAGGTCCCCTGGTTGGATCTCAGGCATATACTTTCCAGGGTCCGTCTCCAGCTGTTCCAGGAATACTCCATTCTTACTAATCTTGCCAAGAATCTACAGGTGATATGAATAAGAAATGCCGAACAATCTTCTCATTTATATAATTGTTTCTACAAAATCTTAATAAGAACTTACCTTCCTTAAAAGACAGTTGCATGAATTTCCTATTGTGGGAATTTACAAGAACTAAATTCTATGTGGCGAAGGCCTTCCAGTACTACAACATAATATAACAAAATGTGTTTTCATACAATCATCAAACAAAAAAGCTTTTCTACCAACAAATTCGGTACCCAATGGATGGCAAAATGTGAAGAGCAAGCTCTTTAAAGTCTTTCAAGTGAATGGAGGACCATGATCAAAAAACAAAAACACCCCCTTCCCACCACATGATAAACTGCTTACATTTTATAAATAAGCATGATGCTATTTTTCATAAAGGGGAAGGGATTAATAGGACGCAAATATCAACAGGACAGAATTTCAGAGGTTAAGTCTAAATTTGGAGGCTTAAGAATAGAATAGGGTTAATGGGTTGTCTGTTCAAATTGATATGCAAGTCAACCATCTGTCAGTAGCATGGCCCTCACCTGCCTGTCTGCAGAGCAGGACACCCCCATGCCCACGGGGCAAGAGGCTCCATGTCTGGGAAGCCTAATGACCCGGACATCATGGCAGAAGTACTTGCCGCCAAACTGGGCCCCAATACCAGTCCTGCGACACAGATCCAACACCTGCTCCTCCATGTCAAGGTCTCGGAAGGCTCGCCCATGTTCATTACCTTCAGGCAATTTCAAAGAGAATACATACACCTGGTGAAAGGAAGAACTTCAACAATTCCTGAAAATAGACCATTGATTAGTTGGAAAGACCTTGTTCTCAGGCTGAGTATAGGCTGATAGTTCTCTTTTTAATTTGAAAAGCAATGGGGCAATCCTCAAATAAGCTTTTGCTCGTCCTATTTTTGTCCCAGGAAAGAATAGAATAAGGCCATACAAATGCATGCAAACCATTGCAAGCACACAACTACAGAGAGCTGCACAGCAAGCTATGAGCAAGCTGAACCATCGTATTGCCATGCACACATCGAGCCAATGAACGGCCATGCCTACAAATGTGAATGTCATTAGCCAGTTATCTGTCAAAAGGCACTTTGTGGGGTTGGCAAAATCCAAGGTTAATATCTCTGTTGATTTTTTCTTCCAGTTTTGGACAATGGGGGCCTCGTGGGACCTCGGCTTATCTTGAGTCAATCACAGGTTCATTCACTTCATACAAACACCAACAGGCTCATGTTTGTTCAATCAAAACATTACACTGTGCTTCATGTACCTGTTGTTGGCAGGTTGTCTAGGTATTTGGCAGAGGCAAGTTTCACTGTTTTCAGAGTCATTTCAGCCGACAGTCCTCCGATGACAAAAACAAGATGGTAGGGTGGACAGGCAGCAGTTCCAATCGTCTGTGGAGACACAATTTGAAACCTATTTATGTTTTCTATACTTTTCGGAAGGCTCAGGTAAGAAAGGCATATTGCAGTATTGAAACCAATGGAAAAAAGAACAGCTAACAACTCCAAGTAACAATCTCATCTTCCAATTTTAATTTTAGTGTAAAGTAATGGCTTCAACTCGATTCCATCTGACTTAAAATCACCATTCTTTAAAATGTAACAATTTTGTTACAAAAACATGGAAATAAAATATAGTTATTTTAATCAATGAATTTTAATAATTTGTCAGGATGCAACAAACGCAGCAACTGATACTCTAAGAAGTTTCGGAAGGTAACAGTTACATGTCTCCATGCAATTGCTGACACAAAGGACTTCCCTGGTACATACAGAAGGGCCCTATAACCTGTGTAAACATGGAAAGTCCCATTTCAGGTTGAGCCACTGTGATGGTCCATTTTAATCTTACTTTGATCTTCTCATCAACAAAGCTTGCTAGCTTCTTTGGGCTGAGGAGGGCCTTGGTTTGTTGGTACAGGAAAGTCTTATTGGCTGAGCCGCCACCTTTAGCAATGAAGAGGAAGTTATACTGATTGCCAGGTGTGGCATACAGCTCCACCTGGGCGGGCAGGTTGGTGCCTGTGTTGACCTCTTTGAACATGTCTAAAGGTGCTACCTGGGTTACAGAGAGGACAGGAAGTTGTCATTTACCAATACATACATGTACATGTAAGTGGTAGTAGCTGAGTATACTAGTATGTGTCTTATATTAATTTTGACATCTACTGTACTGCTAACCAAGGAGTGTGTGCTGTGGAGTCAGGGCACAAGGATCCAGTTCAGTATTCTAATAACAACACATCATGAAGCACATTATAATCCACTGAGGCGTGTGCTATAGAGTCTGCACAAGAGGAACCAGTTCAGTATTCCAACAGTACGAAAGCCCTGGAGTGCTGTCAAGTATATCTTTTCAAAAAGTGAAGCATATTCTTACAAACTTGTTTGTTCCCATAAGAGCTATAAATAGAAATGATGTTTCTGATTTTTGAAACAAATCATTTTTATGAGATTTATTTTCTAAGTTTGTTTTGGGGAGATTTCTTTAAGTTTGTTTTTATGAGTTACAGTTTTTTTGAAGTTTGTTTTTGTGAGGGAATAAATCCAAACATGAGACTGTATATATCTCCTGAAAAATAACTTGAAAAAACTGCATCTTGTTAAAAATGAACTTCATCAAAAAATATTATCTCATAAAACTATTTGTTACTAAAATAAAACCATATTTCCCATATACATGTAGATCTTATTAGAATGAACTGGAGAAGGTGTGTCTTGACCAAACAAACTTTGGAAGAAATAGAATTTATAAAAACAAAGCTGGGAAAAATATATTTCCTGAAAATGGACTTCAAAAAAACTATACTTCACTTTTTTAAAATATTATGCTTGATGGCACTATGGAGCTTTTGTAGAACAGTGATACAATATGAAGCACATTATAGACCATCCACTATGAGTAAACAAGTTTGAGATCAGTCTTGTCAACATATAGGGCTACACATTAAACTCGTATTCACAGAATATGTTTATGCCAGAATGAATGAAGTTGATTTTTTTCCTCCAGAATGACCCTGCCTCATTGAAATACTGACTTGCATTAGACCCCATCCCTCTAACAAGCCAAGATTTGCAAGTCCAACACCATTTTCCAAATCTTATTTTCATCTGGGCCCTTTGCTTCACCTCAGGCTTTAAACTAACTTGAAATATTTCCTGTTCCAACATAGTGAAAATATTCCAAACCTTTGTCCTCACGTTAACCATGCACTGAACTGGACAGGTCTCATTTCATAAGCCTAATGAAAGTCAAGCCTGAGGTTGGGGACAGATATGAATTTGAGGTTTAGAAATCTCCTTAAAGCTGTCCACAGAATGCAGTAATGTCAATAGAGACCAAACTGGCTGGGCCATACACACACTGTAGACTAAGACAAAAAATACTTAGGAATTCAACATCAAGTTTGCATTTGTGACAAAGTTCATTGCACTAAGATGGACTTCAAGTACGTCTTTCTGACTATAACTACTTAGGTCTTACACCAGGAATGGTCTACCACAATGCTTCTACTTCATTTACCTGTGAATAGCGAAGGTTCCTCTGTGTGTATGCATTGTAAACACCCCGTGATAAGTGTTCTTCATCTCTCTCATCTGTCCACACTTTCTGTCCCCTCTTCCCTGACAAAGAATTTTTAAAATGAGTGCTTTGAAGATTCCATCATACACAACAATATTTAAAAAATTTTGAACTTTTCAAATGCTTTTCCTGTTGTCACGTCTATGACTTAGAAGTTTTGGACTATGCGCTGAATCTTGAGGAGCACCATGCCTTCCTTTTCACGAGATTACATGCAAATTACCCTGAAACTTAGAACAGGGCCACATTTCATCATTAAGTAATGTGTGATCTGTGTGTATGAGTTTGTCCAACATTATGAGTCTATGGATGTGCTCTTCTCCAGTTAAAAACCTGCATATTGCCGTCATCTTCATGAAGACAACTACGGCTCCAAAACATCACATTTTTTAATTTCTGGGATTTTGGCAAAATCAAGTAGGAATCTGGTGGAATCACTCAGGCCAAACTTATTGAAATAAACAGAATCACAATGATCTCTGAAAATGGTACCAATATGGACCCACCCATGCACACTGTTATACAGCAAGAAATAAGAGAGCTACAAATGATCTGAAAGGAGGACATTTTCCTTCTTCCTCATTGCTAAGGGAAATGCCAGTGGATCTACAGAACTAGGCATTTATGACTTACCTATTACAATAGCAGTTCCTGTGTCCTGACAGCCAGGCAGCACCATACCAGCAGCTATGTTGGCATTCTTTAAGAGTTCCAGAGCGACAAATTTGTCATTGCTGGAGGCTTCAGGGTCATCCAAGATACTTCTCAATTGCTACATGAATAAAACAATGATCCTGATCCTCCTGATAGTCCACAGTAACACATGAGGATTTGGCCAGACTGAAGCTCAGCCTAAGCCATTTTTTCATTGTACATGGTATCTGAAACCCACTGGAAATAAGAGTGTTCAGACTGAAGTCACAACACAGCAGTAGTTTGCCAGATTGAGGGAGGTCAAGCTGGCCCATTAGTACATGTACTTACATGTAACTCATCACTTGAAAGACTTTGAATGTTAAGAGAAAAAGAGTGAAGCCCTCTGCAAGCAAGCAGGGCACAGTTCCACAAATACATTGAAAATGGTGATGGGCTAAAAGAATGATTTTTAATTAATAATCTGGGAACAAGGCAAGATTAGTTCAATAGGCCCCAGGTTCCAGTTACACATGTATGTGTAAGCTCTATTCGGTCACACATATACATGTACATTTATAGCACCAGTACATGTAGTAAGCACTGGAGCCTAGTACTTCATGTGTGTTGATGCTAAGCTGCCCTAACAGCCTAAAGAGTTTCAAGTACTAGTTTGAAGCTTTTTCAAAATCGCATATTAAAAGACAGAAGCACACTGTGGTATCTAACGAGGCCCCGAATTTTTTTGTAGGCCCTAGGCACAGAGCCTACTGCGCTTGTCATTATCTGCCAATGTCTCAGGGAAGAAAAGATAGAAGAGATTATTTTTTGATATTTCAAAATGTTTAAAATTCTGGGAATTCTTGTATGTAATTTTAAGTTCTAAAAGTCAAAAACACAAGGATTGTGGGTATGAGTTCACCATTTCAAACTTCAGGCAACATGCATGAATGAGAATGGTTTGTTACCTTCAACAATCCCTGTACTGTGATGAGTAGCCAGGGTTTCTTGGCCTTTTACATATTTTTTATCCTATTTAACCCATTTTTACTTTCCCAATGTTGAGGATCAGCATTCTGATTTTGCTTTTGAAGATCTCCATTTCAATGCAATCTGCACATTCACCCCCCTCCATTACACAATATGGCTGGCAGCCCAAATGCAAATTTGTTTGCATGTGTATGGCACTGAATATGCACAATTTGAATTTGCCCAAACCAACAGCATCTTCACGTGGGCTCTGGTTGGACAGTGCCAACGGCTTTTAATGCCTGCCAAGCCTTTCTCTTCATACTACTAAGGTGAGGAGACTAGTTCACAGTCCATACAGATCCACTCTAAATCTCTGGATGAATTACACCGGGGTGATTCCAGAAAGTAGGGGTCCGCAAGTGCGACCTTTTCGTGTCCCCGTTACATATGACCTTTGTTATTTGACATGGACATATCACCGAAATTGATTTCAAACTATTACTACACGTATTTGTTTGGCAGGTAATTTGCATTAATTCATCACTCTTGTAAATTGGAAAATGTGTTTTGAACTTCCAAAATCATACATCAGATGTGACAGGGACACCAAAAAAACATGGACCCCTAATTTCTGGAATTACCCATCAACAAGTACATGTACGTTGCATTAATTCAGCAATGTCCATCATTGTCACATAAAAGAATTGATAGGTGCATGTACATCATATCTTAGGTGTGGAACAATACACGACTCAAGCTACCACTGTGAAGGTGCTGGACCTGTGTTATAACAGCAGTGTTAAATCGTGATCAGACCTGTAAATGTTTAGGCCTGAGCAAGTGTGCCACATCAATCATCGCCTGTGTTGAAATTGTTGTCAGTGCCTCTTGTTCAACTTTGAGAATCTTTCTGCCCTGGACCTCAAGGGTTGACACGTGGTCTCCTGTGCAGAAAAGAACATGCAAATATTCGTTTTGAACTTTGTTAAAATATTTAATATGTGATATTGAATTGTCAAATGTTCAAATTGTGTGCAGACCTGTAAATACATGTATTTGGGCCTGAGCAAGTGTGCCATGTCAATTATTGCCTGTGATGTGTACCAACAGGTTTGAAAAGAAGTATGGGTTGGTAAAAATGGTTTAAATGCTGATTACCTAATGGATCTTTGATGTTCCACAACACCTACACGAACCAATTTAATACCACACACATCATAAAACTTTGATATATAGTCCGAACAACTGGTCTCCTACATTATAAATGCGCAATGGTCAGAGTGTAAATATTGATCAACTTGGTTCAACCTTTTACATACAAGTACTGTATATCATACTTGACTGTAAACAGATGCAGGCCTAACAAAGCACTGCAATGCTATATTTTCAAAGCACAGCTGGTGTGTACATGTCAGTTTTGATATGTAAAAATAAATCAACAGACCAACTGCACCCAAACAGAATTAAACTGCAACTAAAGTGGTACTTTGCACACCCAAGACAAATATATTACATTTTATTACTGTACCTACATGTATGTGTACATGAGCTTCTTCTAAATTCTGACATGCTCACCTGTCAACTTTTTGTAAGATATGTCAAGTGTTGTGTCTGGCTTCAAGATATCCTCATAGTGAAATGCCTTGACTGCTGTTGGTGCTGCTTTGGTTGCTGTTGCTTTGCTGCGATGCAGTGCAGTCTCCAGCAGGCATCGTTGGTATAGCAGCAAGCCTCGGTAAGCTGACTGTGTCAACATGGTCTAAAACGCTGACTAAAGAAATCAGTAATGAGCCGTTTTATAATGTTATGTGCAGTGCATACATGTATGTGACCCATCACGACAAAATGTATGTAGGATATGCATATTTCATTGCAAAAAAATTAAAACACTTTGATAAAGTGAAAACACTTGGACAGCAAAGTACTGTAAATATTAAATTACAAGGAAAATTACTGATTGTGATATCCTAATATCGATGTTTAATTTTTTTTGGGGGGGGGAGGGAGGACAGAGAGGTCTAGTCTAGTTCACTGGAAAACCTGGGATTCATAAGGTGCAGTGTGACTGTTACAGTGGTTCAGTGTCCCACACATAGTGCACAGCTGTAATAATTGGCACGTAGCCAAGGTAGCGCCACCACAACTATCCACCCTTGTACATGTACCCAAGATTACAACGCAGTGGACATGATACAGTACATCAACTGTGGGAAAGATCACTATTATCCATCATTTTATGCATCCCGGTAACATCACCAGTGCGCTCTATGTGTGAATGATATATCAAGCATGCTGTTTAACCTTTGTCAACAATTTCAGCATGAAGAGATTTAGTCTGGAATTCAAAACAGTGATGAAATAGGGTACAAATTCTGATGAGTGCACTAAATCCCACACTAAACATTTAACATGTTTAAGAATTTCTTCAAAATTAATAATCTCTAGTAATTACCTCCACTTACACTACTGGATGTGTACATACATGTACATGTACATGCCCAACAAAAAGTTTGTAAGAAAATGTACATGTACATGTATTAGCTTATAGGAATGGAGGAAACTGCAGTTCAGGCAAGTTATGGATCTGCAATTGGGTGGACATGGGGAATGAAGCCATATCAAAATAAGGCTCAAATAAAGGTTTTTAGCAAAAAAGTAAAAACTTTTTTCAACTTTTAAGCCATGTTTTCCCGTAGCTTAGGCATAGGGCCAAGGATACAGAGGGTAATGTTCATATTTAGTTTGCCAAGTACAACAGCAGAAGGTAGAAAGTACATGTACATGTAGGCCTAGATTGGCCCGAGTATAACGTCAAGGATGGATGCAACTTTATCTATTTATCTAGGAACTCTGAGAACTTGAATTTACAGCGAGGTAAAATGCACCGTTGAATTATAATGTAGTGATTTGGTTTCACCATAAAAGGCCACAAAGCTCCTGGATGTCAAGGAAAGTTGTATCTTCCAATAGATACATGTATGTGTAAGGCTACAAGTACATGTACATTATAGAAATTCACTTTTCAATGCTCACTTGACTTGCCTCATAGTGTTAGCCAAACCTTTTTGGCCGGGTTCCCATTGGACTTTTTTTAGTTATTAACGTGACTTTCCTGTAGAGTTACAGAATGAAATCCGACGGAAACGCATGGGAAACTAGAGTTCCTGTTAATTTACTATGGACTTTATGAGGTAAAGATATTGCTCCTATAACCTACATTCATGTACATGTGTAGAAAATTGGTATGCACACACATTTATACAAATGCAGTGTATAGCTTGCAAATGTATATGTCTGTTCTAGGACACCATACTGCATGATGGGAAAAGGCATGATGGGATAGGTCATCAGGGTTTTTGGTAAAATGGCGTCCTGAGATGTGGTGAAATCATTAAAGTTGTGTTATATTATCGTAATCAAATCCGCCTAATCCTGTGGAATATTGTGTGGACTGTCAGTCTCCGCGATCCTAAAACAACCTGTAGTGATCGGCCCATTACACATGTACCTCCACAACTGTAGGGTCTGACGTCTGCTCCTTCCTCACCCAGATGGCTGTTTTGGGGGTACTTCGAGAACTCGAGGGGACTAACTCCGTGACGGAGTATCACAGAGTTAGTTCCTTCGGGTTCTCAAAGTATTTTGGGGGTACCCATAACCTACATGTATACACTAGAGCAGTAGAGACAAATTGTAAGTCAAATTTCGCCACGTTCTGGATTGGTAAGGCCCACATCATGTACACCACTCGGCCAATGTCCAATGTATATGATGTACATGTACATGTGGGCTTAGGCCCTGATTCTACCTCCATGGTACAGCTAGCCTGTGAATATAATTTTAAATCATTAGGGCCCTGGGGGCCCCATGCCCAGCCACCCAGCCGTGGCATGCCCACACGATCGTAATGCCAATGCCGGGCCATAAGCCAGACGCTGTAGGCTACCCCCAGAACTGTTTGTGAGGTTCGTCATCTGTCCGGGCCGGGAGGGCGGCGGACGTGGGATAATAGCCCCACTAGAAGCGTGGCACGGACACTCACACCCGCTCCAAACATACCAAAAGGATGGAGCAGGAGTGAGGGTCCGTGCCACACTGTACTGGTACTAGTGGCTAGTTGAACGGCAAAGTACAGACTGTGACTGGCCCCAATTCTCCCAAGCTCCTTAGGTTTCCTCACGGAAATACAAAATCAATCTCTGGGCTTTAATTCTCGATAATTATTATACACGTACATGTACATCTGACAAGAATTAATTCCCGTTACTTTAGTATCAGTGATCACTGCACTGCTAGCTACTCACCAAAGGTTGTATAGCGCGGCGCTATACAACCTTTGCTACTCACTTTCACAGTCGACAGCAGTCAC